TATACGCATGCGGTAGTGAATGCGCGTAGATAGACCTCGCGGCTTTGATTTGGCCTATGGTTTGACTTTTTAATTCGTGTTCTGTTGTTGTCGATGTAAGTTGACTATAGCTTCGCTTTTTTCCTATTTTTATTGATTTCGATTGGCCGCGTGTGCCCAAAAATTTTTTTTCGATTCCTGTTCCTTCGCCAATTTAAACTCGCTTTCAATTATTTTTACTCGTGTCAACACACTGAGGATAAATAATTTATCATAACATTGCAAATACTTCAGTTCCTTTGGATTTTTAAATTTAAATCTACGTGAATGATATAATCACAAAAAAATTATTTTCATTCATATTGCCATTATTAAGAAAAAAGAAAAAAAAATAGAAATAGAATCTAATAATATACATAAATTAATTTATATAAATAAATTGCAAATGAAATGTTGCGTCAATATTGGTCCTTAATGGATTATTAATGAATTAATAATTCTTTCATTTTCACATCAAAATCAATTGTCTTTCTATAGCGAAAATAATTAAAAAGAAAAACTGATTGTCACTCTTGTGACACGAATGAATTCTTTTTTTTTCTTTTTCTATACAGTCTTTCCTTCGGCGAAAACAATTTAAAAAGTGACACGACTGTCATTCTTGTTTCCACATTTTGTTCAATCGCAGTTTTCTCTTCTGCAATGTTTTCCTTTAGCAAAAATAATTAAAAAAAGAAAAAAATGGATCGCCAGTCTCGTTTCTAAATTTTGTTTCTCTACGATCCCGTTTTCGAAAATTTTCTACACATTCTTCTCGATCATCGTTCATTCTTTTCCTCGAGAAATTCTAGTTTCCTGCCGTTGTCTGTCTCGCGTTACAATCCCTTCTAATTTCTGTTTGTCCGTTCAGACAAAACTGAACGTACCCATCCGCGAAACGTGCGACGTAAATCTTTCATTCTCGACGCCATGAAAATTCGAGGGCCTTCCGTGTCACTCCGCTGGCGATGCTGAAAATTCAATTCCATCGGGTTCCGATCGATTGCGGTCCTCCCGGCTGGAGGATACATCTGAAATTCCACGACTTTCTTCCAAATATTTTCACGTTCGTTCCAGTTCTGTTTAAAAATTCATCCATTATTTTCCCCTTCGAATTTCATTTCTCTAGCATAAGCGTAGCTGGACCGTTTCGTTCCTCAATTGCATCATCATTCTTTCGTTACTTAACAATTTCAATGGCCACTCTCTGTTCCTTAGAGATACAGAAGCAATTTGTTAGATTTACGATATGGACTTTATTGCTCGTTATTTTTGAGATTAAGATTTCACTTTCTTCGTTAGTTCCTCGTTCGTGCTGTTCTTTATTGCCGCAGGAGCTCCAAATTTTTTTAATTTTAAGAAAATATTCTTCTTTCGTTACACTGTTATTTTTCTCCATTATTTAGTTGCTTCTATTTGCCAAGGATACACGCGATTGGTCAGATTTATGATACGGAGCTAATTTTTTGAGATTGAGACTCCACTTTCTTTTTTAGCTTTCTCTAGGAAATTTCTTCTTCCTTATGATGCAGAAAGAACTTTAGAAATCAAGTGTTTCCTAAATTAGGGTTTTTATCAAAACCATTTACTAAATATTATAGTATAGTAAGTACCCTGCGGATATTTTATAGATTTTTGTGTATAATTCAATATCAAGTGAATCAATTTTCTGCCACAAATGTAATATTGAACATTCTCCATCATATCGATATAATAACGCTAGTTTTTTACGCAAAATTATCTTAACATTATAATGTTACATAGCTTCGTATGCATGGATGTAATATCATCTCATTTACACGCGTAAAAGATTATTATTGCAGGAATATTTTGTCAAACTTTCAAAACGAATTGTACACAAAAATCCATTAATAAAAATCATTCTGGATCAAATAAAAAAACAGTCCAAAATCCGTATCGTAAACTCGGTCGACCACGTGCACCTCCGACGTTCTATTTTTCCACAAAAATAATATCTTCGTATTTCTCGAAGACAGCTATGCTGATATCTTTCGTTTCATTCGACTGGTGGTTCTCGAATATTGGTTCGAAAATCTTGCCATTTTTCAGGATTCCTCTGGCCCAATAATTCCAAGGATATTTAACGATTCAAATGGAAAGCAGAATATCGCGTAATCGCACTCCAGTGGTGCAAGAGACCTACGATGGTTTTACCACTCTCACGTGTCACGGGTAATTTCCCATCAGATGGTATGTTTTTCCAATTCACATCTCCCATCGGCACTTATTTTCTTTCTTCGCGCGTTGAACCTATGTTTTCTCCTTTTTTTTCTTCTTTTTCTTTCTAGCTACGCCTTTCAGGGAATTGCGTTGAAAAATCATCAATCTGGTCGTTGAGTTAGGATCACTAGCAGTTTTCAATGTTTGACAATGTGTTTTTAGCAAAATTGAAAGGTTTGAAAGGAAGAATTTAACTGCAAGTTACGTGACGTATTGTGATAAGCGATTTAGTTAATTAACGAATGAACGTTTCGTGCGTAGAATATCACTTGGATTTTGACTATGCGTTGCGAAGGTCGGAACGATGTATGCGGAGTGCCATAATGAAAGCGAAGTGAAGAAATACAAACTATCAATGTGTACTTTGCATTTGCATGGTGTGTATGTGTGTGTTAACAAAAATTATTACTGAACCACATTCAGACCTTTCAATTTCACTAAAAATATCTAGAACGATGAGAATTGAGAGTGATCTTAATTGAATTCAATTCAATTATTTATTTTTTTTTTCAACTGTCCAATCACTTTTCTCCACAATTATTTACAATTTAGTCAATAATTTTTTAAACAGTAGGCATATTTTAAAGCATAGACTACGTATATAAGTCCATGATGGAAAATTGTTAAAAATTCGAATTATCGAATTATTTTTATTAAAATTAAACTATTAAAGAGTTTAATCCATCTTTCGCTATATTGTAGTTTCAATAATTGAGCCGTTCAGAAAAATGATATTACGCATCATTTTCTTGAAATGAATAAATTTATGGTGACATTGAGGTTCATATTAAATATTATTATACTATACGTAATTGTATATAAATATTATGTATACGTTATGTTATTAAAAATGATATTATACATCATTTTCCTAAAACGAACAAATTTATGGAAATTTATGGTCATTTGTTTCTTGAAAACTGAATGCCAATCCCGCGTTTACGCGACGAAGTTAAAAAGAACGAATAAAAAATTGAAGTTGCTCGGTTCGATCTCTGAAACGCTCAATTATATTAATAAAAACTGACAAAACATTGTCAACCTCGTGGCAAACTTCTTCATATTTTTCTGATTCCATTTATGTAAGTCGTATCAAGCTAAGATCCCTTTCGCACCGAATATACTAACTTCGAAACTTTTGACTTGAAATTTGAACTCTTAAATGCAACGACGACCTGTTGGAATTTAATAAATACCCTATCATTGAAACGATATACGAGAAATCAAACTCGGTGATGTTTCCTCCTTTTAATAAATCACTCTTAAACTCCGCGTTATTTTCACGCCTGTAATTCTCTAGCAAATAATTGAACCGTATCTTTCGCGTAGAATGAATCGTCTTCGCATCGATTCGATGCTTGAGAACTTTCAAAACGATTCAAATCGATTGAAACGCACGCTGTTTTGCCTCGAACTTTGATCGTCCGTGATTCTGACAATCAGTTGCACTGGTAGACGCGTTTTCTTACGTTTTTTTTTTTTTTTTTTTTT